TACTTCTTTGACCTTCAAAATTAACTTTGAAGGGGGGGGTAGCAGGTTATTATTAACTTTTTCAGCTAAAATGCGAGGTCAATTTTAAAGGAAAAATCCCCGGAGCGAAAAGGTTAATATAAGACACAAAGAGGTTTCTGTCCTTTAGGAATCTTAGCAACAACAAAACTATCGTCATTCTTAACAAATCGCTCAATAGTACGCTCAATAGTACGCTTTGGAACATTGTTTAGATGCTTTTGAACATCTCATTTCTTTGCTTTTTACTTCCTTAAGAGGATGCTAAACTATTCTGTTTTATCGACGGAATACGCCAGTTTAGTAAATCTTATTTCATTATTTACTGTATTAAATCAAAAACGCTTTTACAAAAGTAAGGAACGTAAAAAAACCTATCTCGGAGTAACACTTTGACTACTGAAAAGAACCAAAAGTTACACTTTCTTACTATCACTTGATCGTTTTCTATTTTTAAACAATTTCTAGACATTGTATAAATATGCAGGTACTAGACCGAGAAGCGGATGACATAAAAGAATATAATGGAACTTTCAGAATGTGATTTTATTGTCTAGTTTACGAGAATAGTTAAATCTTCTAATGAAGCACATACGATAGTAGGAAGAATATGCACACAATATCCCACTATCAGATGGGCGAACCGAACGAGAGACAAGAAAAGAGATATACGTCTATCTTTGTATAGAGAGCATCACCTACTAGACAGCTTAGCAGCAAAGCAGCTGTTAAGCCGCTTGTTCAGTATCCTCTTAACAGCCTCTAATTGACTGCGAGACCGCGATTGCCTCTCCTTTGCCTCTATCTGAAAATATGATTACTAAAAATTTACTAATACATCAAATAAAAAACTTGACAATTCCTAATATGAAGTAGGTACCTTATATTAAAAGCGGCTACGTGTCTCATATTAAGGAATATAAAATTAGAAGTAAAAAAATTAAGTTTATACCGACAAAGTATGCAATATGTTGACAAAACTACATGATAAATCACTTACGGTGCATGTGTATATTTGAGTGAATTGAAATGACAGTGAAGCTTATGATATAAAAGTGTTAAATACATATAAAATTTTAAAGTTATAATGATTATTTTTCTTTTTTGCGAGTACGCAACTTCCTTGCAGACACTACGTCGTCTTTGGCAGTGAGCGACACTAACAAAAAGTTTGATGTTTTTGTAAGTAATGTGTTAAAAAACATATAGTTATGAATTTGATCACATGAAATAACTCGCTATCTCGTATTAGGCGATCATCTCATAGAAGGCATCTTTACTCTATATATGTATATATAGGGTATCCCAGAATTGGTGTAACATCTCTCGTAGACAGGTAGAAAGAGTAAAACTGAGTCGATAAGTCCTATACCATTTTGCTAGATTCGCAATAGTTACTGAGATCTTAATTAACAAAGATCAGCGAATAAGCATGCATCGTGCTGTCTTACGCGCATAAGATAGCCCGGCGCGCTTCGCGCGCTTACGGTATTATCCGTAGCAACATATGGAAGGAGCTAATATAACAGCATATACTGTAACATATACATATTAAAATGTAATTGTGCGAAGCGCGCTGGGCTATCCTACGCGCGTAAGACAGCTCGATGCACGCTTATTCGCGAATCTTTGTTAATTAAGATCTCGGTAACTATTGCGAATCTAGCAAAATGGTATAGGACTTATCGACTCAATTTTACTCCTTCTACCTGTCTACGGGAGATGTTACACCAATTCTGGGACACCCTGTATATATGTAATATATAAAATATCATATACAGAGTATCTGAAAAATGTTGACACAGCCGAAGTGTGAAGATAAATATTAATCTGGATCGAAAAGTTATAAACCATTTTGCAACATTTGCAATAGTCATTGAGTAATTAATTAATACATGTGATTCAATGAGCGCATGGGAAGCGACGGTTCGAACTTTGTAAGAGTGTATGATTTTCAGTTATGAAAATCACTCGTTTGTTTGCTCCGCCTATTGCGGTTAGAAGATTGCATGAAGTAAGCAGTTTTCTTTACAACCGAAAATCATACATGTCTTACAGAGTCCGGACCATCGTTTCCCACGCGCTTATTAGATCACATATATTAATTATCACTCAATAACTATTGCGAATTTTGCAAAATGGTACATGACTTTTCTGTCTAGATTGACTCAATCTATCTTCACACTTCGGCTGTGTCAAAATTTTTCAGATATCTTGTAGGGTAAGGAGCCCAAATGCCATCCCTCGGCTGATCTCAGCTATTAGGTACTATCATGTGCTAGAAATTATTGGAATTAGTAGAACGCACGCATAAAACCTTATTATCACGTTATGAGCATAATCGTTGTTTTTGTTGCAAGTTTATAACGTGTGGGTGGTTTGCAAGCAGCATACTGTAGTGCAGGCTTCGGTTTGAGGCTTGTTTTTTATGTAAAAAATACATTTTTTTTACTTGCAATTTTGTGCAAATGTAATATGTAACTTCTATTTTAATGTCACAAAGTGATAATCTTATTGCGTCACAAGTAAAATGACATTTAATATAAATGTAAAATGTAACTCTGTTCCAAATTTCGTCTCCAGTATCTCAGCTATTTCATTTGCTGGAAATCACTGGAACTGAAACACAAAAAATATTACCGCGTTACGGGCATAATTGTTGTTGAGAAATAGATAAAATGTTCTGATTGCTTCAAGTAGTGCCACAAAATGTGTGCTTCAAGCACTTATTTTATAATATATATTTTATAATAATAATAAAAATAATAATCAAAACTTTTAATTTTTTTCTTTTTTTTATAGAATAAAGCAGTTTTTAGTGATTTCTGCGTATTCTTATAACTATATACAAACTATATATTTTATTTAAGTTTTTTATTTTTCGCACGTTAAATTATAGATAATAGCGCTCCTCCTGGAAGAAACATTTTAATAGATCATACTGACAGTTTCAATTGTTTTCTAACATAAATCGAGGGGAGACAAAATTAGGAACACTTTTTTGGAAACGTCAAAAATGCATATTCTCACATTTTAATTTTTTTCTCTTTTTGTACAAAAGTTTTAGAAACAAGGATTATGGGATTTATACTAGAGGGTTTGAGCTACGCGTACAAATTTTTTTAAGTCGGATCATTAATTACAGTCTGAATAAGAGACAAAATACTTAAGGAGAACGAAATTTGAGCCCCTTATCCTGTACACAGGATGTCCGATAATAGCCGCTCGTCGACAGATTGGGATGGTTATATCTACTGAGTCGAAAACTCTATATGTTGCAATATTCGCAATAATTAACGACGCAATAATTCCACTTTGCAATATTTGCAATAATTAACAAGTTTTTAATTAATAATTAAAGATCAGCAAATGCATCCACGTGCAAAAGACAGCACATCGTGAGCTTATGGTTGCTACGCGTGCGGCAATTCAATGAGAGAAGTTAATAGTAATAATGTAAACAGCATATAATATATACATATTAGATAAAAATCAAAAACTAACGATGATCAAATGTAAAAGCATAATATGTGCGGATTTTTATTAATTAAGAACTCGTTAATTATTGCAAAGTTAGCAAAGTGGTACACTCCGCTTCGACAACCTTCTCTATACATGTATCTCTGCTCACAAGCGGTGATGCAACTACCGGACACTATGTATATAATATAAACATATATACTTCTAATCCTGTAAACTCCGGACATTATATCCGAGCAATTCTTGAAAATGAGAAAATGAGAAAATCTTATTAACTATTTAGTGAAAAGTTATAGAAAAGTTCTAAAAACTAAAAACTATATATACAAAAACTGATATTATTTTCTTAATACAGAATGTTGAATAAAGCCTCATGAATTTTTATAGAGTTTTTGCAACGAGTTTTAACCCCAACAATTATATATATATATATCTCATTATTTATTTACGACTTATGTTTATGAAAATGTATAACTTTTATTTGACTTGTGAAAAGTTGATGCAAAAAGTAGATTAGAGTTAGGACTTAATCACGCAGGAAAAAGGCAACAATTCCTCATATACTTGGTTTAAGAAAGAAAAGACGTTTAAAAAAAGTTTCTCAACAGGTGTAAAAAAATGTATTATATTATTATACTATTAATACAATAAGAAGCTAAGATACCAGAGTTGTTGAATCAGTAAAAAAAAAAAAAAACGTACATCACTTCAAATGACTCGCTTCCGAATAGAAGCAAGCCGCATACGTTCGGCTTCCAAACTTTTAAAAACACCCCCGCGGAACGAAACTAACTTACGAAAGTGCCTGTCCCACCCGCCTGACACTCTTTCACCCTGCCTTTTTCTGTTCCACGACTTCTCGATAGCGATATGGGAATCCGAAGCGGCGCAGCATCCCTTCGAATGTCGTCCATTTGTAACCTCGGATACATTATCCAACGGGGCGCGTCTCCAACCATCTTCTCTCTCTCTCTCTCTCTCTCTCTCCCTCTTTCTCTCTCTCTCTCTCTCCTCTTACCAAGTTGTAAGAAAGTGTAGGAAAGAAATGCGTCGCTTTCCTCTTCGATTCTAATTCCGCGCATCCTCTTTCGCCGTTGAAAAATTTCATGCAACGACGGAAAAAGACGTACAGAAGAAAGTGCATTAGATACTTACACAAAAATGATGAGTCTCGAATTACTTTCTACTATCTTGTATCTTTTATTAAATCGATATACATTATATTAAAATAGTGAAAGAGTAAATTCTAACACAAACGAATCAATATTAATTTAAGTTTCTTATACACATTTTTAAAACAATCAAACTCTTTGTATACTTGTGAGAAACAAAGCTTTCTTAACACAATTATATACAATTGTAATCCCGCAAATGCACGTTCTTTACTACCCTTAATTGAATCAAAGCGCGATAGTATTCTTTCTCTTTCATCGGGAATGAATGACGAGTGAGAATGAAAGGAAAGGTGGCCGCGCCGCAGCTCTGGTCACAAGGACCAATCTCGATGTAGATAATGATCACACATCGGAGCTCACGCCAACCACGCGGGGATGAGTGACTTTAATTGTCGAGCAGAGATCGATTTGTCGCCACAAAACGAAGCCTATCGCGCGTACTACTTTTTGCCTTTGCGTTTTTTATTTTTTTGTTTTGTTTTGTTTTGCTACCTCGTCCCTACGTTTCCCGCATGCGCTCTTTTCGAGCACTCGAAACGCCAACGAGTGCGTTTTCACGCTACGGGAAACACTTATCGTTATTACGCCATGTCGCTCGCAAAGCCGCCAAAATCGAATATGAAATCCGGCGCGTGAGCGAAATTCATCGGTGCGCTTTCAACGCTTTACTTTTCTCCGGCAGAATATTGTCGCCATTTTATTCAATGGTGACTGGAAATAGTAGCGACGTAAGATAAGCGATATCGCCACTCTATTTGCAATTCAACAATTAAATGAAATGACACAAGTTATTGCTGATAGTAAATCGAATTAAATAGGTAAAATATGTTAAAATAGTTTTTTATTTCAGGTTTTGTGAAAAATACAACTCGTTATATTTGAAATTACATATCGATCACGTTGTATCATTTAAAATTGCGCGAGCAACGTTACAAAATTATACCAGACGTCTTAAAGTTAAAGTCGAGAGAATTGAGAATTCTTTTTTTTTTTTTTTTAGAGTCGATTCAAATTGGCGACCGTTTTCTTCCGTGCTATGGGCAGTTTGTCTTCATAACGGCTTTTATCTGGCGACAATTCGCGCGGACGTGCTCCATTATCGATTTCGCTTCATTTCACGGTCAGAGGAAGCTGCGAGCTTCGGAAAACGGGGCGAAGTGTAGAAACGCGCAGCGTTTCGCGTTCGGAATCGCCGCGATGTCTATAGACGATGAACGGTTATTCGAGTTTCTATTTTCTCGATCAAAAAAAAAATAAAAAATAAAAAAAAAAAGAGAGAGCTGCGTCCTCGTCTGAATATTTTTCCAAGATCGCGCCGACAGACATTTCTTAAAACGACATTTGTTAAAATTTGTCCGTGCTCCAACAATAGTATATACTTAATTAAATTTTTGCTCAACAACATCGTTATTTTGTGACTCGTAATTAAATTAAAAATTACAACACCACAAAATTGCAATAACACATTATTTTGTATTTAAGAAAGAAATGTTTTTTTCAGTTTCGTACATTATATACAAATTTAATGTAATTATCGCTATTCTTTTTTTTTTTTTTTTTAGACAGAACTGTCAAAGTATTTTCTCTTGTATCTATATTTATAATTGCGTAAAAACTTTAGAATCTGAATACAAGTTCGGACGCTTTTGTACATAAAGCATATCCTGAAACGCTTTAAACTAGAAACAAATGATAAACATCAACTGAAAGTTCTTTTACTTCATAATTACCGAATGTTCAAAGAATTTGTTTAATTATTTACGAGCTTGTTCAGTGAGTGAACTCTCGGCGAGCGTCCACAAAGATCGTGGGAGGACTTCGAAAGTAACTGCGAGCTAGTTATCGATTATCGAGTTCCTGCATTTTACATCTAACCATTTTCACGATCGACAGGAGAAACCGAAGGAACGCGAGCGTTTCACGGGAGAATCGTTCAACGTCTATCGACGATCGACGGGAGTATTCGAGTTTCCCGAGCGCGAAGTAATTTCTAAGGAGCAAATTGCACTTACAAATGCATGAAGTCGGGCTTTTTCGCCGTCCTCCGTCTCTTCACAATCTTAGAATCTTGATCATGTCGGAATCGATGGAACTAATAAGATTGGCAGAATTCTAAGATTATCCGAAGCGCGTAAATCGATCCAGTTTTCTTTTCGTACAAAACAACGTAGAATATAAAATTTTTCTCGCACTTTTGCTTTCAGAAATTTCAATTGCAACGTACTTATGATCTCAAACAACAAAGCAATATTACTTC